AGGTCGACGAAGACCCCGGTTCCCAAGGCAGGCTTTCTGCTGCCTGGTGAGCCTGGATTTGTGTGGTCCGCGCCTTTCCCAGCTTGTCCCATTCTGTCACCGGGATAAGGGGCTCCCTCGGCTCGTTTGCACCTGCGTCGCTTTGGCTCCTTCAGGAATGCGCTGAAGCTTGTAATCAGCTTTGTGGAGCCATTGAGTGCACGGCTGAGTGAAACTTCCAGAGCTGGAGGGGAACCGGCCGCTGAATAGGAGCCAGCATGGGGCTGCGCTCCAAGGCTTCGCACTGCCAAATTCCAGCAGAGCCCCTCACAATCACCGCGGGCTTGACTGCTTTCCCCACACTGAGAAAAGTGAGAAAAGAAAAGCGAAAATACCAGTCACCGAGGTTAGCCGTTTGTTCCCAGATTAATGGCAAGCGGCCCCTCCTACGCCACCCCCTCCGCACAGGAAATATGACATAGGAAGGGGAGGACAGTTATTAATAACACCTCCTCCTCGGGCTGCCCCGCCTGGGGTGCTGCCCTCCCCGCAGAGCCCAGCTCCAAGCCCCCTCCGGCCCCAGCTCGCCCAGTGCAGCCCCCTTGCCTTCTCCGGCTGGGGTGCCCAGCAGGGTACTCACCCTCCCCTGTGGAGGAGAGGAGAGGAGGCAGTGGAGCTCCTGCCATGTGTCCTGGCCAGGTGGCGTCCAGGTGCCCGCAGGGCTGAAGGGCAGGGGCAGCACAGGATGCGGCGGGGCTCAGCTCAGCTCAGCTGCGCTCCTCTGAGCGGAGCCCACAGACAGGCCTCCCAGAGCACAGCCAGGCTTTCTTTCCAAAAGGAGAACCTTGGCAGCCGATACAAGACCAGGCTGTTCGCAAAAGGCAAACCCACACCTGTCAAGGGGAGCAGTGTACCTGTACCCTGGCAGCTGACAGCCGCCCGGGAAGAGGCGGCAGCGGGGTCCTCCCGGGTGCTGAGCTCAGGGCCTGGCTGTGTGTGAGGCAGAGGCCAGGTTCTCTCGCCAGTGTGCTCACACAATGCTCTCCTCCTCCGTGAATCCTGGTAGAAATTTCTTGGAGGAAAAAAAGTGAAGGCGACGTTATAATTGATGCATCAAAACTCTCCGCACAATTGCTGAGAATCTCTTTAGCAAATTAATTCTTTCTCCTGCGAACTGGAAGCCTTTCCTCTGCCGCAGGCACAAATGCATGGTTTCATACTGGATCTAGACTTCCAACCCTTCCAGTAAGCACAAGCCCAGGCCTGTGGGCGCCTTGCTGCTGCCCCCAGCACTGTGCTCTCATGGGGTCCACCGGGCTGATGGTGGCTCTGAGCTACAACCAGTCCTCTGGTGACCGGAAGGCTTTGTGGCCTCTTTAAATATCTAACTTGTCATAAAGCCCTGGGGAAAGATGTTAGCAGGCAGAGGGAGAGGAGAGCACCCCGGCGGATGCCCCATTACAGAGCTCCAGGCTGCCCTCGGGAGGCACAGTGGGCAGGGGCTTTCCGTCTGTGTACGTTAACGAGCGGCAGAAGCCACAGAGCCGTGCTAGGAGGGGCCGTGGATGGGAAGCGGCCTGTGCAAGCAAGGAGTAGCCTGCACTTACAGAGGTCAAGTGATTGGCCCAGAAGGCCCAAGGGGCATTGCGACGGCTACCAGGAATCATGGTAAGTCAGAGGCAGTGGATAAGGATGCTTCATCCTGGTTTGAAACACATCAAACGGTCCCGTGAGGAGCAGCTCCGTTCTGACAGCCCCGAACCCCCGAGGTGGCCCGGCCAGAGGAGTCGAGTGTCTCACTCAGAGAAGCCTTGAATACCCGATCCGCCACCCACGCTGACTATGTTCACTTTCTTATTATAAAGTTTGACATGATGTTTTCAGCCGTGTTTCTCCTTCCAGCCACTTTGAAACACATCAAACGGTCCCGTGAGGAGCAGCTCCGTTCTGACAGCCCCGAACCCCCGAGGTGGCCCGGCCAGAGGAGTCGAGTGTCTCACTCAGAGAAGCCTTGAATACCCGATCCGCCACCCACGCTGACTATGTTCACTTTCTTATTATAAAGTTTGACATGATGTTTTCAGCCGTGTTTCTCCTTCCAGCCACTCTCAGTAGCAAATTCGGAGTTCACTTTCTTATTATAAAGTTTGACATGATGTTTTCAGCCGTGTTTCTCCTTCCAGCCACTCTCAGTAGCAAGTCAGGAGGATCTGCAGCAATTCAGAAATTAGTGAAATTTTATTCCTGGTGGGGGCGTTGGATTAAGAGCGGGGAGGGTGCGGAGCAAGTCAACGTGTAATTGCATGATAAGGCTCTCACGAGGAATTCATTGGCCAAGTTGCTATTTCTATTCCTTCCTAATCTCGTTTAGCACATTCGTTCTCTGCAATCTGTCTCCATAATCTTCCGTAGCAGAATGGCAGCCAACAGAAGCATGCGTGTTTGGAGAGAAGAAAAAATATGCAGGAGCGTGATAAACTGATGCTAATTATCCATATTTAGGACGCGGAGTGCAGAAGATCAAGGTTTACGAATAGCTAACCAGAGCCAGCAGTGATGGCTTCCTCCTGTGGAATACATCGGAGGGGACCAGATAAGGGTTTCATGGGCAGGGAGATTTATTGGTCAGAGGGTTCACCTTCCACTTTTCCACTTTTATATAGCAGTAAATTATTTAGGCTAAATTCACCCGAACATTACTCTTTCATTTGGCCATGTGCCATGACTTGCTCTTTCTTTGTGTCTTTTCAATGCAAATCCTTGTAGTTTAACATCAGTTGATAAGAAACAAATAATTGAAGTAATAGGTAATTCCCTTTAAACCGTTCATATAGGGTGGGCCAGGGAAGAATGGGGTGAGGAGAGAGCAGAGGCCGAGAGTGCACGACGCCCAGCTCGGCCTGAGACAAGCGGAGGAGATGGTGGGCACCTGTGTGGGCTGGTGTTGCTGGCCAGGCAGCACACGGGAGGGAAGAGGTGGGTTTTCCAGCTCAGCCCAACAACACCTTGCACCTAGGATCCCGAGAACTTCAAATAAAAACATCTAAACTCTGCTCTTCTCCCCTACCCTGTGTCCCACACCACCGCGCACTGCCTTCTGTTTAAAGTCTCCAGAGCTCCTGGGTATGAGAACAGACCCCAAAAGGGCACAGCTGGCAGATTTTCTTTTTCCTTCTTTCCTATCAATCTTTGATTTTTCTTCTTTTTCCCCTGGACTCTCATCAGCTCTGGTGCCAACTGGGAAATACTTGTCTTTGCTTTATTGTCTAAGAATCTTCTAGAATTGTATTTGTAGCTTTTTCAGATGATGGAGTCAACAGGAATTCTCTGCTAAATGCACACTGCAAACCAGTGTGGGCCACTTAATATAAGGACAAAGTGGTTGTGGAGGAAACAGAGTTGTATTGAAATCTGGGGATATAATTTACAGATTCCCAACGAACATCTGGTCCTTGACACAAGCTATTTTTCTTCACCTTCAGCCAGAGGAGAAGGGAGTGTATATGAGCTACTTCTATGTCTCTGTTCCAACAAGCCTCATAGGCACCTTTATTTTCCATGCCACTGTGAAAGGAAAACACTGCGGATTGTAAGTCCCACAGTAACGGCATTTATGTTCTAGACGTGAGAAAAACATTTAAAATGTATATCTTAGAGCCAAAGAATGCATAGTTAATTGAATGAGTTTGTAACATTTCACCAAAAATATTTTCAAAATCACCCATTGTTCTATAAAAAGTAAGCTTGTGACAAATTAACAGGTTAAGCATCATGCGTAGTTAACACATGCAACAATGCTCTATGACTATACATAATTTTAAAATGCAGACTTGAAACCATTATTCATGTAATTCACAAAAGAAGAAAGGAAAGAAAAACACAAATGCTCCTTCATCTTAATAATTTAACGGTTGAGGCAAAAGATGCAGGCTACAGATTTTACCAGAAGTTACCTAAAGTAGAGAAAGACAGCCATTCACATGACCACACATGCAGATACTAAAATGTCAGCTGTGCCCTGTAGCGTGGGGCTGTTCTTCGGGGCTGCAGATTCCAGTGGAGGTGGCTGTTTCCAGTCTGGATTTCTGGAACCAGCCTTTCTGCCTCCCTCACAGGACAAGAACTCGAATGCTCCAGCTAGGCCTACATTCTCCCCTGGCGCACACACAGCTCCAAGTCAACATCTCCTCTCCACCCTGCGCCACTGTCCGGTCTAGGCAGACTGACCCACTGTGAAGACAGGCCTGGGTTCAGAGCAACAGTTTTGAACTAACCAGCTGAATGCAAGGAACCATTAAGTTTTATCAAAAAATACAGTGAATGCTTACATTTTAAAAACTTTATAGTAAAAGACAGTGCTACAACCCCTTCAGTATTCCCCCCTCCCTTAAAATGTACTCATCCCACCGTCCCTGCCACTTCCTGCAGCAGCTCTGCAGTCCTCTTTCCTGAATGTCTTTAGTTGCCCTGTCCTGGCTGCCTCAATGTCCTGAATTGATTCAACACATTGACCTTTCACGATTAGTTTGACTTTGGGAAGAGGCAGGAGTTGTATGGTGTCAGATTGGGTGAATAAGGGAAGGAGGACACAGCGTCATTTTTTGTTTTGTTTTGTTTTGTTTTACCAGCTGCCTTTTTTTTTCTTTTCTTTTTTGAGACAGGGTCTCACTATGCAGTTGCAACTGACCTGGAACTCACTATGTTCCAGGCTGGTCTCGAACTCACAGCCATCCTCCTGCCTCAGCCTCCCAAGTGCTGAGATTACAGGTGTGTGTCACCATGCCTGGCTCACCGGCTGCCTTTTTGTTGGTAGCACTCCACAGCAGCGTTCAACACTGTGTAATATCACACTTCTCCTGTAAAGACACCCACAAAAGAGAACTCCAGAGCTGCTTCACAAAGTATCAAGAACCATGGGATAAGTGTGTTGGAAGTGAGAGGGGAGATTAATGGCTATGTGTCTTTTACTGCAATACATTTTTTAAATTTAAACAGTCACCCTATATTTAAACTGTATCAGCTTGTGGTTACTTTAAGTGTCAGTGTTTTCTTTTAAAATAGCTTATATTCCTACAGGGACACAGGCTGCCTTTCACGTCCCCAGAGTCTCCAGGAAGGACGTGGCCAACACACAGGAGGGCAAGGTCTCAACGTAGATTTGGGCCTTCTCCATGTGCCCCCAGGACACCCACATCCTCTGAGGCTGTGCCAGGGCACCTGTGCCCAGCAGGTGTGTAGGTGTGAGTGTGTGCAGCTCCTCACACCGGCATGTGTCCTGACAGGTGTGTGTGACTGTGTGCCCATGGGTGGGGCTGTGCCGACAGTGGCCTCTAGCACACACCCCTCCTGTTTGTGTCAGAGTCGGGCCCCAGTGGAGCCCAGGGAAAGGAACAGGAGTGCTGTCCAGGCCAGAGTCCTGCCTCCCAGCTCTGCCTGCCATAGCTCTGAGCCCCTCCCGGTGCGTGCAGATGAGGTCCATTGCTCACCCTGCATCGGCCTGGCCTCCCCTCTGGGCCCCCACCGCACCCTCTGCCCTTCTGAGAGCAACCAGCTCCACCCTGCGAGAGAGAACCTGCTTCCCATGGCCCCTGCACTCAGCACCGCAGGGGGACCGGCCGTCCTTCTGGCTGGGCCTCTGGCCCCCCTATAAAAAGCCAGTGAGCCCTGGCTTCTCTCCTGCAGTGGATGTGCAGACCCGCAATGGTGGCAGCACTCTGGACACTTTTGGGGAACCCAGCAGGAGTGATTACAGATGCTGTGACTGTGTCTTGGCTCTGATGACTTCACGTAGCTCCTAAGGAAAACAGAAGCCGGCTGGGATTTACTGGGCACCACACATTTGAGGCAACCCAGGCTGTGGCATTGCTAACCATGACTTAGTTTTCTCACAGGAGTGGGAAGTGTGCCTGCCTCCAGATACACTGGCAGCTGCCCCCGCCTGCTCCGTGGCCGCCAAAGCCAACGGGTCACCGCTGTGTCCTCCGCCCTCACGCGCAGCTCACCAGCTTTCAGGAGTGAACGGTGGGATAAATACCCGCCGACTCTGCTCACTCGTTATCTATGAGTTGATGT